CATTCACTTTAAAATTTTGCTTTAATTCGCTCAGATTTCTACAAAAATTGGAAACTATTTAAAAATATTCCTTATTTTGTTTATTTAAGCATCTATACAACTCTAGTATTTTTTTTATTCGCACGTATTTTCCAACAAGAACAAAATTGATTCAATTTTCATTTATTTGAAGTACAAAGTTCAAAATAGTATCAAAAAGGAAAGTATCAGTGAGTATTGATTGTCTCATATAAACAAACTTATTGACTTTGCAATAATAAATAAAAGTTATTTCAGCTTCCTTTGAATCTTTTTTCCAGCTGGAATACATCTTTCCATTCGAAAAAAAGTCAGATAAATTAATTGTTCGCAAAAAGAAAATCACAAAATCAAAACTTACAAAAACATAGTGGAAAGCAGACATAGCAATTGAAGAAAGACATAATGCTGTAAAAGTAAATCTTTTTTGTGCATTTATTAGCCTTTCGCTGGTGCAAATTTAGTGGCAATTAAAATAATAAATTCAAAATTTGCCCCTCAAAATGTTTATTTTATTCATTTTAAATGAGCTTAAAATATACGCAAGAAATGAAAGCAAGATAATTATCTCAAAGGGACGTGCTGAGATGTGTAGCAAAGTCGCTTTCACGAGTGAAGACTACAGTCTCCGTCATAATTCTCTACTGCACGATAATCATTTGATGTAGAGAATTACGATTGAATCAGACTTTCATAACTTCATTTACAGCATATTTTATTGATAGGATTGCTTGCTTGATTTCATTCTTCGTTTCATTCGTTAACTGAAATCACAGAACTAATTTCATGAATCTGTAATATACACAAATAAGAAAATATTTACGCTTGTGTATATTTCTGCTTATCAGTAAGTCAGATTTAGGCTTCTTCGATTATCAAAACTTTTTTAATATACTTTTTGTGCAAAATGAAAAATGAGATTAGTTGAAAATACTAAACCGAAATAAATGGATTACTTTCAAATGATACTGTAATGGGAGATACTGTCGACACATCAGTGGAAATAGATGTTCAGTAGAACTATCGGTCATTGACCGTAACTGATCAAACATATCGTATTCGTAGTAGTCTTGTAATGTGTCAAGTGCACCTACAGTTTCATTTGATGCGCATACATTCCGCATTAATTCTTTCTAGAATGTTCTTCAAATTCATAACTTTACTACTCTTAAATGATTGATAAAACTGATTAAACGCTCAACTACTTTTTGATAAATTTCTTGAGTTTGCATCACGCTTTTTTATGTTATCAATTAATATTTAAAAAAATTATATTATTGCAAGTAGTCAAATTATAGGATTGTCAATGTTCTTGCTAAGCATGCTGTTACTGTAAGTACTTTACTTCATTTGTGCTGCCAAAAACTATATTAATGTTCCTGTCACTATTAAAATTTTCTAGTTATAATCATCTCTCGTACTCTCAAGACAGTACTGTCCTCCAGACTCATAGCTTTTGACCACTTTACACATTTTACAGAGCAAAAAAGTATTGAAAAGTGTACTTACTCGACACTCCAACTGACATATCTGAAATGCGCATTGCTTACTTAACTGCCAGTACTGGTAAACTTCAACTGAATTACTGGAAGTACCGTACAGGTATTGCTTTTCATGCATTTTTATATGGTGCCTTCGAGCCAGTGTACGACACAATCTATTACACTTAGTATGTGCACCCACACTTGTACGACTGTGAAAAAAACAAGGGTCAAAGGTTGAAAAAAGGTAGCAGAAAATTTGCGTGAGCAGAAATTAAAATGTATTCAGTGAATGTAATTACTAACAATTTGTAGATGACATAATGAAGAGTAGAAAGTAATAATTTGACCAACAACAAAAAGTAATTAAGTTGAAACAGAATGAACGAGGAAGGTGGATTGCATACTTCAAGCAGTTTAAAGCACTTTCCGCCTGTGACCTTCTGAGAATGCAAATATGCAAGTCACTAGTCCAAGCGATGTCGTCGGAATGTATGCGACATTGCTGCTCCCAACAGGCCATCTTCTGCTTTGTGATATTACAAAATGCATAGAAATTTTCGAATGATGCGGTGACTGTTTCATCGAGTGGAAATTCGTAAAATTCTTCATCGTAACTTTTTTGGAAATGCATCTAAAGACCTTCCATCTGCTTAATGTACCAAAAATTTAAATTAAAGTACAGGTGAATGCCAGCGTATAATAAACAATTATAGTGGATAGTATGAACCAATAATAACAGAAAAGTGTAGTTACTTTCAAATTTCTGGCGAAATAAGATAAAGTGACTGTTTAATTTTGTTTTTGTGCATTTACTCAAAATTCGCTCTCTTATTTTTGATAAAATGTAAAAAGTCTTTACTAAACCTCAATGCTTACTGTGCTTTTTTTACAAAACCAATTTTTCTAACAGTTGAATAGACTAAGTTCAGCACGAAATGAAAATAGAAAGTAAATTAAAAAGCAAAAAAATATCACTGATTTTGTTTTAACTGTAATACCATTTTGTTAAATAATGGTGAATAACCTGGCTAATTAAATATAGAGTTGATCAATTAATGAAGACAACGAAAAATTATTCAAACAATATAAGCTACGAAAATTAATTACTCTAAATAACACTTTTCATGAGCACTCGGTTTTCAAATGATACGATGCTACACTGCTTTTAAATATTCTTGAAAGTAAAAATTTCTAATTTTCGTGCTGCAGTATCTTTGATATTTCTGACATTTTTTGAAAATTTCGATCTCTATTATGACTTCAGAATTTTTTAACTAAGCCATAATATTAAAAAAGTTATCAACTCTGAAATGCAATATTGTGTTAGATAATAAGATTTTTGGGTTTTCCGACGATACTTTTTCACTATATTAAAAAAAATCATCTATCCATTTGAACTTGAATTTTTAGTTGCAAGGAATATTCTGAGGTGTTACAAAAAAGCGAAAGGCATAGAATAAAAACAACTTTACTTTTTGGTATTATTTTTAAGTAGAAGAAAAACACATATCACAGCCGTTATGTGTTAATTAGAAAACGGCTAATTAACGAATTGAAACTCAAAAGATATTTCTTCATATTTTTGCAT